AAATCATCTCACCTCTAGTAATATAAAACTTCCTTAGGTGGTGAAAAAAGAAAGTCCATTATTTTGATTGCTGTAGGGAACTCACATATTTCTTACACACACACACTTTTCTAGACTCTCTCCTAAATTCATAACTTTTTCCTTTAGCAGCAATGGATATGACATTAAAAGAATGCACAACTGATGCCGAGTGCTTCAGAGAACAGTCTGTAAATGCCTGCCATTGAGATAGTAGCTACTTTACTGCCACAAGAGTACTCTAATTCTTTTCTATATTTTCCTCTCTTTCCCTCACGGAACACCTTTGAGCGATGTGACCCTTGAGTTCAGGAAACTCACTACTATTAGGCTATATGTGGAACTGCAGCACAGCTATGATACTGAGCTTCAAACAGAATTGTCTTTTGCACACAGGATCTAAAGTTTATCCTCTAGCTTGTGCAGGCACTATACATCCTTTAAAGCTATTAATTTTTTTTCCTATTTGTACAGGTCTGAATACAGAGTGTTTGCAACTAATAAAAGTCTATTTTTTCCACAACAATTGTAGATATTCTTAGACAAAATTTGCACAAGAAAGGAACAAAAATTATCTTGTAAATCTAATAAATGGCCATTATCTGAAGACTTTAAAAATATATCAGGTGTATAACAAAACAGTAGTAATTTAAAAGATTATTTTCATGAAGTTTCTCAACTCTAAACATTTCTCTGAATTTCTTAAATGATTAACTGTAACCATATAATAGTAGGAGTTTATGACAACCATACAATAACAAAAGAATAAGAATCTTATTCCAACTGTCTTATTAAACCAGGTAATGATGTCCTGCCAGCCAAACACAGAGGGAACATGCAAAATAAATACTAAAGTAAACAGGCCTTAAGCCGCCTAAGGGAAAGTCAGCAAGATGGCAATTTCAATCATTTGGAATAATACTAAAGCAGCCCTAGGCTTTTCTCAGAATGGAAACATGTCACTATTACCACAATATTTCAACAAATCAGAATGCAAAAGAAAGGAACACTTATGTAATCACATTGGTAGAAGAGCACTTTACTCAACATTTAAGTGGAAAAAAATTATGAAGAAATTCCCTTTATGTGAATAAGTGTAAGTGAACATAAATGACTGTAAGAAAAAAAGTTTCCTTAAAGGTCTGTAGGATTTCAAAAGCTTATCATTTAGAAACAGTTTTCTTTAATATTTTTGGTATAACGGGCTTTTAGAATGACAAGGAAGTGGTTACACCAAGAAAAACTATGATGAAGGTGAGAGGCATGTTATATGTGAAAATCTAACAAATGCTGATACAAGTTACACTCAGTTATACACAAAAAAAATGGTATTTCAAACACTATCCTGGAAAGTTTAATTAAGATGAATAAGGCTGTCATATCATTTAACTGAGAAATCAAAAAATATTTCAAATATTTGGGGAACTTACCTAATGAGTAAACTTTTAGTGTGTGTCTAGTCATGTAGCCATCTTTTAGTCAATCATCAGAAAATCAAAGGCAAATTGGCATGACTCAACCTAAACTTTAATACCGCATGATTGTGTCGTGTAAGCTTGTTTTGTGCGAGGGCTGCTGTGGTTTTAGCAGAGAGATTAACGACCGGACCTAAGCTGGCCTCCAAACCTTGCCCTGCTGATGCCTCAAGCCCTTTGAAGTCTGACCATCATACCTGGCAAAACAACAGTGGGAACTAGGCTGGTGTCAGATCTAATCAAGTTGCCTGCCTCAGCATAGCTAACTATGGGGTACACTAATTGGCCCAATTGCGGATTATACCTTTTGCTACAGATTCAAGACAATAATTTAGTCAAATGATGGTTTTTATCTCCTTCTAATTAAGATTCCAAAGTGAGAAGAAATAGGATTAGACAGGCTAACTTCAAAATTTTGTCCTTTAAAGTGGTATGCACATTAGATATGTCTACTTTGCCATGTTTAAATATGACAACAAGTACAGGTTTTTGGGAAAGATAAGTACAACTGTTCTAACTCTTATCAAATATAGCTAAGTTTTCCTGCAAATAATTAAGCTAAATATTTTTAAAATGAAACATGTAAATCCGTAAGAACACTCAGAGTATGTATTTTAAAAGGTGAACAAATGTATCAGTCTTCAACACAAAAAAGTACTCCCCCCATGGAATACTTTTTAATCCATGTATTTTTTACAAAAACCAGAAACTCATAAAAGACTATTCGTTATCTTAGGTAAATTTTCATATACAAAAACTTTAACAATGCTAACTGTAGTAAGCTGTACAAAGTGTTACTATCCTCTTAGAAAGAATTAATTCTATTAAAAATTTGTGACATCTAAGCCTTTTTATTGAGGGCCAAACTATAGGTAGTTAAATTTATTGATGTGAAAAGCATTAGTGACTTTAAAAGTTGACACTGTGATGAAATAGGAAGTTGGACAGCTTTTTTGAGAAGATAAAGGGGCCTCCTTCACTGCACACATTACAAATGTTGCCACTTGAGAAGCAGTAGTCTAGTGATGAAAACTTCCTTGAAGCAATTTTGTCACAAGTCACATGCTGTACTTCCCTACCTCAGCATTTATAATCTGGTTTTAAAAAGATATGCTCAGGTAGAGTTCAACACCACCTTCCCAGATATGTTTAACATACTTTACACAGCTACTTTCATATTGTCTAAAACTGTAATGTATTTAAATATATATCCTCATTTCTAATTCTCCCAAACTAGACTCTACAAATGTCCTTAACCCTTTAAAGTTTATTTTGTTTTTGTAAAACTGCAATATTGATTGTAAAGCACATTGTTTGCTACCTTTTGTTTTTGCCAAAGGATTTGGAATTGACTGCTGACACATTACATTTTAACTGTAGTATCCAGTTTTGAGTGATTCTATCCAGATCCTACTTTTTTCATCAATTTATTTTTTTCTTTTTCAAAAGTGCCTTGCCTTCCAAAGCTACCCTGGTCAGTCAAGCTGTGCTTGGCCAGCTCCTTCTAATATAGGGAAGAAGAGAAGCTGATATGGATTGTAGTTTGGTGAAATGGGTAGAGGCATATCACAGTAGAATAATGATCAAAGTTGTTCAAAGAGGACTGACTTGCCTCAACTTGGTTTGCAAAAAGTTTATCCCCATCAAGAACTGAAATTATTCAAAAGGGGCCCCTATCTTAACAATGAGGGTTGAAATTATTCAAGTGGGTCATCTACCCATCTCTACAGCAACAGTTTTTTTTTTCCAAGGGTTCCATAACACCCCTGATTCAAACTCTTTTGTCCCTTGGCTAATGAAATTCTTTATACAGAGCCTCCTGATTTAGTTTTTACAGCAATAGAAAGTGGTAACCTTAGATCTTGTGGACAGAAGAATCATCTTCTGATCCAGGCGAGAAAAATTCAAAATATTTCAATTCACAGATAAAGTAAATGTGAATTTAATATAGTAGAAAATAATGGTGCATATTTGCTTGTGTTACTGAAAAGAATTACAACTTCTGTCTAAAACCTGGCATGAATCTAGTACTGATTCAAAAAACGTAATAGTCTTTTGATAAAGTGAAATTATGTTAAAATGGTCTAAACCACTACGGTGCTTTATTCCTTTAACTGTATTCTCTAAGAAGTGGGGGAAAAAAATTGAAAAGGAATCACCTTTAAACATCTCCCTCCCCCCCCCCCCCGCTTCGTGCATTTGGCTTTAAGTGGCTTTTGAAGGGAGTATCTCCAGTCAAGAAACTTCTAGCTATCATGCAGAGATGACCAGAATGAAGAACTGGCTGACCGATTAACTATTAACTACTCTCAATAGGATTAGATAATTAAGGACATTGATGACCATTAATTAGGAGGAGGGCTCCTTAATTTGTCTCTTGATAGGGCCCTTTCAATGATTTATAGGTTAGGGCTACTTACAATTGTGAAGAGAAAGCAAAAAAAAAAAAAAAAAAAAAGGGAGAGAACCCTTAAGTTACCTTATCAAGTGGCCAGCTAAAGAGGGCAGAGGGTCAAATAAGGGCCAAAGTGGTCACTTAAGGGTGAAGTCCCAAACACCAAAGCAGTGCCAAGCCACATTGACCGTCATTTGGAGATGAAGTTAAAAATATGCTAATTTATTGGTGGCAATTCTCTCTTTTATGGTTTCAAGCAGTTAAGACAAGTGGCTTGCTTAAGAGCTTTTCATTTGAAAAGAGATTAAACAAAATGGTTTGTCAGGACTGCTTGGCTGTTTTATGTCTTTGTTAAAAAAATGCTCAGACTGTACCAATGACTATCATATTATCCAAAAAGCCATCTCCCTTCTCTGAACATTTAGTTAATTAATAAATACATCAACTCTAATTGCTTAATAGTTCTACGTTCATTTGCTCTTTAGCAAGATTAAAATGAAATACATCTTTTGTATTACTCCCTTCCATCAGGACCGTCTGTATAAAGGTCAGAGGAAAAAAGTTTAAATTTAGTAGAAAATTTACTAAAGGACATTAGTGTAAGTGATACTGTGTTTAAAATGACATAAAAGAGCTAAAGGTGATTTCAGTAATGCAAAGAAAATGGTTTCTGAATACTGATAAGGACACTTATCCCTCATGCTACACACAACTTTAGGCAGCATTATACATTAAAGTCCCTCAACTGGGGTAACAACATGTAGCTATTTTCCCACACACTAACACAAGTAAGTCATTAACATTTAATTAAACATGCTCCTGACATCCTCAGAAATACGCATGTTATGCTTTGTTACTGAAGGTTGTGGCCTACTTCCTATGTACATTTTAAAACAAAATAAACTGTTTATGCATAATCTGATTTGGTACAACTAGAGAGACATTCTTAATTTGACTACACATTAAAAGTAATATTTTATAAAATTGTTCTGAATAGGTGAACCACAATTAAATGAACATTAACAAAAGTTAAAGTATTTCACAAAACTAAAAGATAGGAATTAGCTCCACCTTTTGGGTTCTAAATAGTGAAACAAAACTGTTTCTCTTACCTCAATGGTGAACAGCTTCCTTTTTAATCTAAAAGCAAGGTCCTTCGTGCCTGACACATCACAGATCAAGCTATTAAGCCGAGGAATCTGGTGCACATGAATCAAACCTTGTGGAAAGGAAAAGTAAAAGGAGGAAAAAATGTAAGAAAATGCTGTCATCCAGATGCATAAATTAAAGAGTCTTACAGCAGAATTCTGTATATTTACACACACTCATCCTCCCCTTTTTAAACTGCAGCTTACTACCAGGAGCAATGAAGCAAACGGTGCGATTATACTCATGTAATCAAGCAGAATAAGATAAACAGAAATCCTTGTGCGAGGAAAACTAATTGCACTTTGGTACAGAAGTACAGATGTAAAGAGGGATCTTAATACTTGTCAAAACTACAGCCGGTTTGTGTGTGATTTTCTCTTGTATTTACAGTAAGCAAATATGGCTATCACCTTGCATGCTGCCCACGGCACCACTGAGTGATCTTTATTTTATTAAATGCACCAGTAAGCAGCCAGCAAAACAAGGCTTATGGGTTACTGATAACCAGTGAAGCTGTAATGAAAAGTATTTAATTTTGCACCTTCTAAAAGTGTTGTGGTACACGGCATTTTAGAGCACACTCTTTGATAAATTTTAACCCCTACATCATCCCTACAAAAATGAATTTTCTACATGTAAGACCTTTACATAGCTGTTCTGATTTTTTATAACAACACTAGGTACACTGCTAGCTCTGCATTCCGTCAGTTGAAACTCAAACTGATTTTTTCTGACAAGGACGCTGGATGGTTTTTGTTCAGCCTAATACAGTGTCTGAACAACCTAGGGGTCATTTTCCACAGTTGAAAACTAAGAATATTCTACAATGCTCTCAATTACTGGCCTACATTTGATATTCACAAATTCAAGGTGTCTACATGAAAACATTGCAGAGGCAAATTCAATATTACATTAATTTAGAAGAGCTCTATCGCTTGAAAATGGCTACTGCGAGGAAATAAATTAAGACCAGTGTGGGGTATTTTTCAAATTTTTACTTTTTGTTAAGTGGAATTACAGAAGATAAAGAGGAAAAGTTTCATACACTTTTAAATAGAGTTTTACAAATACTATCCTATTTAAAAAAGTCTTCTAAATCCTTGGGAAAATGTTATAAAAATAATCAAAAACCTCTTTTTCCATTCAATGAATTCTAAGAATTATTTACATAGTTCAAAATGTGACCATAATGTACAGGTAGAGCAGCTCCACCACAAACAGAGCTGTAAAATATAATTATACACATTTAATAAAGGGATATCTGCACCATCTTCAATCTTTACTTACTTTTCACAAGTTTAATGCAAAACTGTAGGCTTTAAAACAAAACAATAAATTTAGGATTTATTCATAAATGCAGCAATGTCATCAAAACATTCTATTGAACTTTGTCTATAGGCAGAGCCTTGTGTTATCTGCAGCGAATAATGCATCTTTTACAAAGAAATTTTCAGGAAAAGAAACCACATCCCTAAACCATTGGAAAAATTTCAATCGTATAAAATCTGATCAATTTTTAGGATTTTAGATAAAGAGTACCTATAAGAAAATAAAACCCAGTAAAGCTTTTATGTTTAGTATTATTTATTGGGACAAAAAACCAAAACGTATTTAACATGAGTTCTTAAAGGAAATACAGGATAGGAAAGGCATATATTTTCTTAAAGACCTCCTTCACTATTAAGATAAGTTCTATTATATTAAATTAACAGAACTGTATTAGAATGCAAAAATGCCACATAGGGCCTATACAATAGGCAAATTATTTTTGCAGTAGCTTTTGTTCATTTTTTCAGCCACTCTTTTCTAATAATCAAATGTACATTCTTTTCTTTTCTTTCTTTTAAAAAAAGGTTTGCTCTGATTTATGAAACTGCAGCCTGAACACATACAGTAGTATAAAGTGTTCTTCAATACCATTTCTGCTTCATTTTCTGTGCTCTAGCATGGAAAAACATTGCCACATTTTCACATGCTTACAGCAGGCTTCAAATAGGCAGTTCAGTCTTTAGACTAGAGGTTTCCATGGAACTACAGTAGTATCACAATAATAATAGCGGTAATTTATGCGCACACAGATCACCACTCTGGATTAGCTAAAACTGTTTGTTATTCACTGCTTAGGCTATGCATATCTTCTAATCTTTCAGAATTTAAATAGTTCTGCTACCCAAACTTTTATAAATCTTTGTTAACTGAACCCAATGATTAAACACTGTTACACATGTTGAAAATAAGTCACCAGAAAGACTGGGTGGAATAATAAGTTTCTGTACAAAAATTAGTTTCATATTTATTTTTACCTTCACTCATTTCCATACTCAATACCTTTGAAGGAAGAACTGCCATAATTAAAAACAGTAAACAGTAAATCATCATCTTCAAACACAAAGTTTTGCATACTGCATCATTTAGTACTTCACTCGCTTAAATATATCATGTTTTTTCACGTTCTCTATTTAAAACTTGGCAGATCAGAAATATTGATTTCACGACAAGTTCAGCTCACTGGTCAGATGATTGCCAAGCCTCCCCTGTATGTGAATTCCCCAAAGCCTGCCTGTTGAGATATACATCTGATTGAGCCATGCCTCAGTAATATGGCTTGACAACATGCAAGGAGTTGCCATGTTTCCTTTGCAGTCTTAATGCACTTTACTGAAAAATTGCCTAACTCAAGATTGGTTAGCAAGGAGTAACATTTAAGAGGTATATTCCAAAATGAAATCAAATGCTACTTTATAGTAGATACTCCAATAGGATAGTAAGATGCTAAGTGCCCTAGAAGCACTCCATGCAGACTTTTTGCATTGCTAAAGATGGAACTTACCCTGGTAATCCTTGTATAATGGATTGGTTTCTCTCTCAGAGCCGATAAATGATTCAAGACCAACTACCGTATCTGACAAGTTTGTTACACGTTCCATAATTGCTTTATTCTGTAAAACATGGAAACAAAATATACATCCTCTGTGACGAAAAAGATAATTAATGTTCTGAGAGTAGTAAGTCTGTCTTCTAATGACAAACTGAAGTGAAAATAGGTCATCAATACCTAAAAATAACCAGAAACTAAAAAAGCTTCTAGTAACCTGCATCTAAGGGAAAACAATTAAGATGATATGGAGAGAGAGCTGACTCAGAACTAAATTCCATACTTTTTCTAAATCTTCATTTTGATTTATGCATTTATTCATATTTAGAAAGATTTTCAAAGGCATACATAGCATTAGGCAGCTAACTTTCATTGACTTTCAACTACCACTTGTCCCTTTGAAAACCTCATCAACTGAAAAATGTATTAAAACATGATATTGCAGTATTTTCCAAAATGCATTACTTGATTACATGTTTTAGAATAGAAGATAAAGAATATCATTAATAATAAGCAAAATATTTTTCCAATCATTTTTGTTTTTCTTCTGAATCAGAAAGTACACTGCGGAACATATAAATCCAAAAAACAGTAGTACCTATTTCCATTTCTCAATATATTTTCGGTTTAGTAGTGATATTTTGGGCTTAAATCTCCTTTGATATCTGAGAGTGTATCGTCACATGTATCCTAAAATCAGGATGTACTGTTTGCACATTAATGCAATACTGAATTTTACAAGACAGAGAAATATGCATACTGGATACCAGAATGGAAACCTCCATATTAAACTGAAGAACAAAATGTGCTTAAGAGATTCTTTGTAGATACCACTATATGATGAGCAGTAAAATATGATAAAATTATGGTGAAAAGCAGAATGCTTCAACTTAATCAATGTGCTTATCTTAAAGCAGTCCCCAGAGTTTTTATACTCTGTCCTTGATAACTGTGTATACATGCCATACCCACCTTATTTTCAGAAAGTACCAGGCCCAAATAATTACCCCCAAATACCCATTTCAGGTAGGAGGAATTAGGCCATCATCTGATTCTAAAGCCTTTTCCATATCCTGATTCTCTTTCTTAATCATGTGCCCTTCACTTAGGGAGAAAGGGCTATTGTAAATATCACCATCATGTGAGATTATCAGCTATTCAAAGATTTGATATTGTATATCAGAAAATTCCCAAATGCAAACAATGATTTACATCCAATATTTAAACAAAAGTAGATCTAAATATATTGATACAGTCACAGATAAAGCATATTACACGGCAATGTATAGGGGTTTTAATTTAAAAAAATATAAAATATAAAACCCAATATCCCTTAAAATACCATATTTAACAACATAATAGCCTACTACCTGACTATTGAGACACCTGCAAAACACATGGGGAAGGTGAATGTTTCTTCTTAAGGTTGGTAGGAAAGTGTCTGAAAACCATGTTTATTTCACCCCAAAAATAACCTATTCCTGCTCCACTCAGGCCAATCTGTTTGGGGTAGCAGGACTAAACTCACCAATCCCATAATGCCCCTCCCCATGTACCTGTGGATTGCTGACCTTTCAAAGCCACCACTTGTGTAGGGCCAACATAGCCTGTTTTCACATGGAGCCAGATCTCTGTGAAGTCATTTCATGGTGAAGGGTAATTTGCTGTTGTACTGTGTCTTACTGGTTAGAAGGAAATTCTATGCAATCATTTGCACTACGATAAAGAAGTTTGACTGCATGTCTTACTCACACCATTATTACATCACACCCTAATGACACATACTACTACAGAATTACAGCTGAACTTGTGAACATTTTCACACTCCACTACTATCTGGCCAGCAATAATGCTATACATTAACCCTATACTTCAGAGGCCCTTGCTAGTGCTAATCTACAGGACAATTAGAAAAAGAAAAAGCAATTGTAGAAGTGTAGTGACCAGTGAGCTCTGAGCATCCAGACACTGGAAATTCTAGAATTTTGTCTAAACCAGGTTCTTTGGCAGGCTATGAATATTATTTTTATTGTATTACCAAGCTGCCCAAAAACACCACATAGATATTAACAAATACAAACTAAACTAATAGTAAAGGAAGAAATAAACTTGTAATCATACTATACCTAAAAACAAAAAGAAAAGGAGTACTTGTGGCACCTTAGAGACTAACCCATTTATTTGAGCATAAGCTTCCGTGAGCATATGCATCCGATGAAGTGAGCTGTAGCTCACGAAAGCTTATGCTCAAATAAATGGGTTAGTCTCTAAGGTGCCACAAGTACTCCTTTTCTTTTTGTGAATACAGACTAACACGGCTGTTACTCTGATACCTAAAAACAGTTATCAAAGGCCATTATATGCTCATTTTGGTAAACTGTATGTTATAAATGGTGTGGTAAAGCTATTTTAGGTACAGAAGATGCTCAGGCATTAGCAAGACTACCACAACATGCAAAAAAATGGAAATTATAAAAATAACAGCCACTCATTTTGGAACGGTCAGGAGAGCATTTAAGTACATGTTTAAGTCCATGCTTACTTAGGACAGCACTTAAGCATGTTTAACTTTTAGTTGATAGTTAAGTCCGACTGGCTTCAATGGGATTTAAGAAAATGCTTTAAGTTAAGTTCATGCTCAAGTGCCGGCTTGAATAGGTTTGCTTTCCTGGAGTGGCGCTTTTTTGTTCAAGTCAGCTTTGTTTTAAAATATACCAAAGCATTCTTCTGGTTTGGAGGATGAATACATTTTATGCATAGAACTGTCATAACACAAACATGTTTCTTTCTGTGGCATTGTTGACAAAGATCTGTTTATATCACATATTTTCCAGTTTTCAAAGTTCAGCATATTAATGTCCAATCAATGCTTATGTCAGCACACAGATAGTTGTGATGTATGGCATGCTGACATAAAACACACAAATCACATTGCCCCATCTGGGCTTGAAAATTTAACAGAGCTCCAAATCTTCCTTCAACCCTATACAAATCTCCCACCAGCTTCTGGCGGAAACTTGGCAGGTCTGGAGATGAGCCATGGCATGGCTAGGAATGGAGCCAGGACAGAAGAGAATCAGGAAACTAGTTTGCTGGCAACTAGGAGAGGCATTGTTTTAAATTACATAAAACAATCCTGGAAAGTTCTCTGATTTACTAGATGCTTTGCAATTTTTCTAAATTAGTTACTTCAGCCAAAATGTAATTATTATAGCAACAAGGTAGCAATCCCATAGTGAATGGGTATTCCATTCTACTCTAGATTCTAATCATAACTGCAGCCAGAAATTCTCTTCTCGACTGAAATTTGTAATGCTTGGTCTCAAGCCAAATATGTGTGTGTGGGGGGGGGGGGGGGTGGGGACGGGAGAGGGGAGGTGTATTTTGTTTTAAATCTGAAGAAAATCCATTTAGTCATTATTAAATATGAGTGTGAACAAAATATACTGTAACTTATAGGATTTTTTTCTTCTCAGACAATTCCAAAGTTGCTTTGTCATATTCCTTCATTCTTGGCATTTATGTAGTCCTCAGTCACTCTGTATGTTTATTTTTTAAAGAAATATTTTTCAAGAAATTGGGGATGAATTAAAATGATGTATGGACCATAAGCATATATGGAATTCTACTGCCATATAAATATATAGGGCCATATATGTTGAGTTTGCATATGCACATTATTTTCATGGGACTATAGACTTCTGGAATCACCCCCTCACCTACCAAAAAAAAAAAAAAAAAAAAAAAAAAGTTCAAGCAATCCTGGTTCATCAGGATTAACTACTTAGAGAAAATCAACTACTTTGACCCACTTTGCTACCCCTAGTTTGCAAATCCTACTAGTTCCCTTCTCATTATGAGCCTCAACCTTCCTTCCAGAAGTCAAACATTTCCCAGGTTCCAAATAGCCATCAGTTCCAGACAGCACAAACCTATGTTTTGCTTTGTACTTTCCCATTTTAAAAGAAATTAAAAAGCAGGAAAACGGAATGCAATACATTATTTTAAATTCTCATTCTTTGTATTGCACTGATTGAACATAGGTGAAAACTAAAAAATTAAGCTTCTTAAAGTAACATCAGCTTTTCTACACTGGATTTATACATAAAGTTATACATTTAAACAGGAACATTAGTCATTCACATTACAGATGTGTCATGAAGCCTACTTAACTGCATTGTGACAACTTTAAATTTACAAAGTTAAAGATATTCAGAAACTTAAATTTTCATTATGATCTTTGTATGAAGATAATTTTTGACATTGAATTCTATGCTCCATTTGAAATTAAGGACTGGAATACTATGTCTCTTTCCAAACAAAGGTTAGAAGTGTCCTTTGGTGAGAGGGACTTCATTTGGTGGTCACCCCGCTGAAAGACATTGCAGTTACCCCAACATTAAGTTTCTTTAAATCATGATATAGGGTGTATATATTGAATCAAAATCAAATTAAAAAAAGTTTAAAAAGTGTTTCATTATCTACGTAGGTTAATTAAAGAAACCACAGAATAATTAGAAATGGATGTACAAAACTATTTAAAACAATGAATTAACACACAGTTCATATGCAGCATAGCCCTGGATAAGAGTACGAAACTTTCAGTCATTCAACATTTACATTTTAGCTGCTTTTGTCCATGGTATTTAGTTGGTAGATTTCAGCATAACAAGCAAAGGAATACTAGTTATTATCCCCACAGATTGGGGATACTCCCATAAAAGTTTGTAGCTGAACAGGCATTATTTGATAATGGACGTGTAAGCGATTGTAGGTCTCCATAGTAGTTAAATCTGTAGTTGTATGGATTTCTGCCATCACCAATAGGTGATTCTTTAAAATCCTGACCCTTTACAGAAAAGGATATGAAACGTACAGAAATAAATCAGAAGGAGCTAGGTTAGGCAAAAATATTTAAATTAGTGTTTGACTTTTGAACTAAAAGCAGATTTAGATGTACTTTCCCTAAGCCTTTAGCACAGCATCCAAAGTAGACTATGACTATTACAATCATGTGTTTATTTCTCACGCATTACCTTCTCTGTCATGGAGCTGAATTAACTA